GTGTGTAAGTATACAAGCCTGCACTCTGATGCGCAACTGTGGTACACCCCACAGCTGCCTTGCCTGAGAGTGTGAATTGACAGGTGATGGTTTTCTGTTTCCCATGCTGCAGGTGATTGTTGTGCTGCTTCCTGCGTTGGCGGTGATACTAAAACGAGACATGTCACTCAATAGGCGCCTGTACACGTGGCTGTTAGGGCCCACTTCCGGTTCTAACCGTGAAACAGGTGTGTGGTTAGATACACACAGACAAGTGTGTGATTAGATACACACGTACAGATGTGTGATTAGATACACACGTACAGGTGTGTGATTAGATACACACGTACAGGTGTGTGATTAGATACACACGTACAGGTGTTTGATTAGATACACACGTACAGGTGTGTGATTAGATACACACGTACAGGTGTGGGATTAGATACACACGTACAGGTGTGTGATTAGATACACACGTGCAGGTGTGTGATTAGATACACACGTACAGGTGTGTGATTAGATACACACGTACAGGTGTGTGATTAGATACACACGTACAGGTGTGTGATTAGATACACATTTACAGGTGTGTGATTAGATACACACGTATAGGTGTGTGATAAGATACACACGTACAGGTATGTGGTTTGGTACACACGTACAGGTGTGTGGTTGAATACACACGGACAGGTGTGTGATTAGATACACACATACAGGTGTGTGATTAGATACACACGTACAGGTGTGTGGTTAGATACGCACGTACAGGTGTGTGGTTAGATACACACGTACAGGTGTGTAGTTAGGTACACACGGACAGGTGTGTGGCTAGATACACACATACAGGTGTGTAATTAGATACACACGTACAGGTGTGTGATTAGATACACACGTTGTTATCGCAGTGTGAAGGATGGCTGTAGGTCACTTAGCTTAACATTACCAGTACATTTACATATATAGCTACATATACACATATGTGTGCTCGTTTTTTCGTCAGGCAAAGACCCAGAGAGTCAATTGTACGGGCTGTGGACGTTTTTATCCAACCAAGATCAAGATAATGCGGAAAAGGGGACGTGTGTTTAATGCTACTTTGATGCAGCCACATTGCCGTCACACTCGCACAGCTATCTACGTTGTTTTAAATATGCGGTATCAGAATTAACACCTATTTATATTTTATCTGCTGATGTCGCAAAACACACTGCCTCATACATATAACTCCCACACACATACACACATACATAAACGGACCAATCGCCCATGACTTCAC